TCCTGCAGTTTGGCAGAAGTCTGTAGGACTTCTTACATTCCTACAGGAACAAAGATGCTTATTTAAATATTGCAGAGGTAATGTCCTTGTTATGCTCCATATTTCTATGCTTTCCAGTGTCAACAAAGAAAAAGGAGGGGGGAATAGTGTAATTGTTTTCACAAAAAAGAGGTAAGTAAGCAGAAAGCAAACAAAAAATGAGTGCATTCAAAACAAAACCCCATAAAAGCCAAAAAGTTCTCCTTATAGTCTCTGCTATCTTAAATGCACATCTGATCTCAAAATTGTGTGCATGCATACAAAAGAACAAAAGGAATTTTATTTGGTCTAGCTGATTTATTTTAAGAGCCTGCACAGGCAGAAACCACCAAAAACATAAAGAATACTTTAAGTAATAAAAAAAATATTTTAATACATATTTTCACAGAAACCACTGATGCACTCAAAGATAGACTATAAAATAAAAAGAATTTCATATAACACAGTGTATTGAAAGCTGAACTCCAAATTCAGACAAAATAACAGCCAAGAGCACATAAATTAAACAGCTAAACTCTACAGATGAAAGCTTTCAAGAAATCAAGAAAGCAGGCACTCAAGCCATGTAAGTTTGTGAAAATACGGTTGAAAATAAATCGGATGCAGTTTTTCCTATCTACAGTGTTTTGGTTTACAAATAAAAAAAAGAACAAAATAGGAAGCTGAACAAATCACTTGCATGACTATTGCATTCACAAATTAGTATGGAACTGCTATTACTAAAGAGATGGGCTTGGACCAATGCACTGCAACTGTGTAATACAACTCTTGTCTACTTGCACAGCTCTTTCCAGGGTCAAAGGCTTATTCTGGTGTCATTATACTGTCTAGCCACATTTCTAGGGATCACAGTCTTACTCTCCCTCCTGTATTAAAATATTTTTGTTCTTAAGTGTTTGATGACATTTGCACTTCAGCCTAGAACCATCTCTAGGCACTGCTTTGGTGTCCCTGTAAACAACAAACAAGTTAGTATCTAATACTGTTAGTAGTCTTGAGAAAAATTACTACACATATTTTACCTGTGAGAGAGTTTTAAAAAAGAAACAAGAAAAAAATTATCTGCAACAGCACATACCATTGTAGGTTCAAGGTCTGCTTCATGCTTAACATGAAATAGGAAGAATTTAAATAAATAAATAAATTTTAAAAAAAGGGGGCCAATCCCTGACCAGTCAGCACCTGAGGACCAATAACTGGAAAGTAAGAATGGAACACATGCATTTATTCTGACAAAGTTCACCAAATACTATGCCACTTCTCGTGTCAATCCAAGCGCTCTACAGTATGTCAGTCAAATGTACAGAGACTAACATCTCACTAGCCACTGCCTGCATGGACGGCTTCTTATGTCTAGAGCCCAAGCAGACACACTAAGTTCATAGTACAGACAAACCTTCAGATATCTCCCTCTCCTTTACCTCAGTGGGTAAAATAAGAAAGTTGCTGTGCATACACAAACATTGACCTATAGTGTAACCAAAGGGACCTCTCTGTTGTGAAAACATGTGCACTATCTATTTCTCAACAGCAGTTTTCATTTATGAAAACTGGATCTTATTTTCTTTGCTCAACAAGGCCTATAAACAGCTTTGAGAAGCAAAATTTAATCAAATTTATACTATGCAGAAGAACAATTCACAGCCTGCCATATATTCTGACTCTAATGTTCTGCATATTCTCAGAATAATACAAAATATTGCAGAGCACCCCACTGTTTGCCTACTGCTAAAAAGCATTCTTAGGACTATCTCAAATCTAAAATGCTTTAGTGGCCTCTGGTAATCACCCTTGTCTCATCAAAAGCAACAGGCACTCCTCCTCCTTTGCTCTGAGTCTCATGAAGATTTTCTAAAGTGTAACATGTAAAGAAGATTTAGCTTAATGAGATCTCAGCAACATCTCTAACTCCCACTGCTTCCAGAGTACAGTTAACACTTTCTCCGCTGTTATCAGATGCCTACCATGCAGCTCAACAAATTCAACACACAACAAAACAGATTTATTAAAATCACAACACACAGCAATACTATGCCACCTACACAAACAGATCAATAAAATATCTTCATTTACAACTTTTCAGTAAGTTTGATGGCCCTAAATAAAAAGGTGCCGTGTTTTCTCTGAGCATAAAAAAATCAGATCAGTAAGATCAACAGAGCATCAATTAACATTTTCTGGTAGGATACAAATGGGCACTGGAAAAGGCAGACACATGCTAATTCATGACAGCATTACAGCAGATTGCTGATTAAATGAGTTCTAGCCATGGTCTGAAGGCTGAATTTTTACTTACATGGGGAAAAATTATGTTGAAGTCATTAGGATGAATATTCTGCATTTTATAATTTATTTGTTTTTTACTTTTCCCCCCCACAGAAAAGCAAAGCCTTGCAGACTCTGCTGACATGGTAACCATGTTACTCCATTCTCCTTTTCTAGAAAGCCCAACATAACCATTCAATGGCGGCCCCAGGTTAGTGCAGCACAGAAACTATGTCTAGCACTATATGCACAGTTTTGGCTGGGACAGTTACTTTTCTCCACAGTAGCTTGCATGGTGCTACATTTTTTTGTGATTAAAACAGGGATGATAATACAGATATTTTAATTACTGCTGAGTAGTGCTTGCACAGTATCAAAACCCATTCTGCTTCTCATGGCACCTCACTAGCAAGTAGGCTGGGGATGTGCAAGAAGTTGGGAGGGGACACAGATAGGGCAGCTGACCCCAACTGACCAAAGGGCTATTCCATACCATATGATGTCATGCTTGGCAATAAATGCTGAGGGAAGAAGGAAGGGGGAACATTTGGAATTATGGTGTTTTCCTTCCCAAGCAACCGTTATGCGTGATGAAGCCCTGCTCTCCTGAAGATGGCTGAACACCTGCCGGCCAGCGGGAACTAGGGAACAAAGTGTGGATCATGCAACACCCTAGCAAATCTATTTTCAGCTCAGTTACTGAGCAAGCACTAATGCAGAGGAGGAGCTCACAGTTTTCAAGTGTCTGAAATAAAGTGTGGGATGGGTTTTTTTACTCTTTAAAAGATAAAATAAAAATCCAAACACGAGATGAAAACACTGGAATATCATACTTTCCTCCCTGTTACAGGTTTCCTATTGCATTCTGCTATCTCTGGAACTTGCCACTATAATGGAAGATCTGAGACTTCCTAGAATGATAACTATTTTACTTAATGCTTCAAAAAACCTTAATAGTGGAAGTCACCTGTCTTTCCTAACTGGATTCTGGTTGCTGAGTGGAAAGTGGTGCTTCTAAGTTGTGCTAAGATGGGTCATCAATAGCTCAATCTATCAAAAAGTAGAACAATTGCATGATTTTCCAGTTTAAAAACAATCGACTGATCTTTGCATACAGGTTTCCAAATGTTTTCAAAGAAGTGTTCTCCAGCACAGACACCACTGCAAGCTCCAGGCTATGCTCTGAATGCATCTGCTTCCTGATTCTTAATTGTTAAGCCCTGTTTCTTTAACTCATGCACCCTAAAGGAACATTTTTACCTAACAACATCATGTGAGGAATTATTATCTCATGTTACAGATGCGGGAATTAAGACCTGGACTGATAAACTTGCTCTAGGTTATTCAAGAATCCTGTGGATTTGGAGATGTATGCTATGTTCCTCCAATGTCTGATGCTCTAACAGAGCCATGGCTCCGCTTACAGCCGCTCGAATATTGGAAAGTATGTAACACAAAACAGATAAACATCTACAAGACCTCAGTGGTTTAGATACATTGTTGAAGTTATGTATTTTCCCTTGAAGCTCACAACTAATACCCAAAAGATTAAAATTTTTTAAAGCAAATTGAGACGGAATGTACAAAACAAAAAGCTCTAGAATGTTACGTTACATACTGTCTGTAATATCAAAGTCTGAATAACATTTTATCATCTCATATTTAAGTGTTAAAACAGCAGCTTTAAAACTGTGTTTCTGAATAATAGGTTGTAAGTTTAAGTATTCCTTCACCTTTCATAGTATGTTATTTAAATAAAATCCATATTGTAACCCATCTGCATAGATTTATCAAAATTGGTGAAAGTCAGTATTTCTTCATAGCTTATACAAAAGCTAAAGGTTCTGCTGCTGTTTGTATAGCTCATCATTAGCTGAGGTTTTCATGACAAATTGCTGTTTTCCACCACTTCACACCTCAGTGACATCTCACT